GAAACATGTATATTATCTAGGGTGAAACAGATCACCAGCCCAGGTTGGGTGCATGAGACAAGTGCTCAGGCCTGGTGCACTGGGAAGACCCAGAGGGATCGGGTGGAGAGGGAGGTGGGAGGGGGGACCGGGATATGGCTAATTCATTTCAATGTATGACAAAAACCACTGCAATGATGTAATTAGCCTCCAACTAATAAAAATAAATGGGGAAAAAAAAAAAGGAAAAAAAAAATTTTTTTAGCTAATTTTTGTCTGGAATGTTCAATCTCTCAAATCTTCCAGATGTCAGCATCTCAAAAGTGTATTCAATATTTAACAGCCATGAATTAAAATTCTAAATCATATTATAATCATTCCTTATGTACATATATAAACATTTACATTTTATTTCAGGATTACGTGCAAGATGTACATGTGATGTTATAAAGCTGAGTAATAAATTTCCCATTTTAAATTAAACAGATGTATAATTGTCTCTCAGAAACACAACTCTCAATAAGCAACTGCCCTAGGGGAAAATATACTATACTCTGTAAGGTGCTGTTTTACATGTTTTCCAGGGGGAAAAAAAAAAGAAACCACTGTAATGACAATTTAGGCTCCCAAGAGAGTTCAATCCCAGGTCCCTCTACTTCAGAATACCAAAATTATCATAATTCTAGGAGTCATGGTCTTACGGATATATGCTGGGGAAGAGAGGATTTGAGCCATTTTTTGTTTTATAATATCCAAACAACTTAGAAATTAATATCTATAAATTAGTCATAAATATTCCTTTAATAAGATAAAAAGATTTAACATCACCCACCTGATTATCATCATTTAAAAAATCTTCAAGGAATTCATTAGCATACTTTGTCTTTGGAATTTGTTGAGGACTATCATCAGTGTTAACAGGAACAGGAGATTTGCTAGGATTTAAGGATACAAGACAGCATATAAGTTCCCAATTGATAAAAATTAGACAGTATATAACTGACGGTTATCATTTAAAATGGTCACCATGAAGTAACCATTATAGATAGGATTCCTATGGATGTTGCTTGATAATTCCTTCATCTTCTCCCTAAACTTCTTCCTTCATCACTCCCTATCTCCTTGCTTCTCCTGTAAAGCTTTAAGGAAAAATATAAAGAAACTGAAGACATTAGTCTTTAATTAAATGAGCCTTCAAATATACGTATCCTCCAAAAGCTCATTTGTTTGAAACAAGCAGTACATTTTTCCAATTAAACATTTTTGGCCACTCAGTATTAATACACAAAGCCCCCACAAATTTGTAAGTTTCTATTAAGATGGAACTACATGCTGCTTCTACATCAAAGCAACAGGACAGACTTCTCCTCCAGAACTGGCACTATGGACAGACTAAAGTAGGAGAAGGATTAATTCTGAAATTAAAATTCCTGAGTTCAAATCCCAATCCCACTCATGGTATGACTTCACAAAACTTTACCTTCACTTCAGTTTCTACATTTGCAGTCCTTCTTATCTCTACATGTACTACATAAATTTAACTCTCCATACCTGGGACATTTAAAAGAAGTTCAATAAACAAAAGTTTTTAATATTGAAGGGGAAGAAAAGTGCATCCCCAGCGAAAGTAAAAATTTTCTCAAAACAAAATTCCATTAGCTGCAGAGAATAAACTCATTCTTTCTCTCATTTATATATCAATATGTGTTTCTTATTCAAGTACTCATATATCTAAGACTCTTAAAACAAACATCATAATGCAAATTTTTTTCTCAGTAATTAGCAGTTCTTCATTATTCACTCATCTGATTTGTAATTTACTATTAACTTTTTCTTGTTCCCAAGTAGTTTTTCCTCCCATTCTTTAACAAAGAGTTTGTACATCCACCAACTATCATCAAAAAAGCATTTATCTGATTATAAAAGATGAGTGCTGGATACATATGGAATCATCATGCTATTCCTCTACTTTTGTATTTGTTTGACATTTTCTATTACAGAAAGTTAAACCAAAAAAACAAAAACAATTTTTCTGGCTGTGGTCATTTTTTTAGTACACTATTACCTAGTCAATTTTGTTTTTGATGACAGATTAATAATTTGTCAATATCACACTGAAGTCAGATCTATTCCTTATCACACCATCAATAATTTTATGTAAAACATATCCATCATAATATGATGGTACTAGGGCAAACCATTAACGATAATTATACAAGTCAGAAGTCATAGTATCTAATTACAAAATACATTTAGTATATTCAAAAACTTTACTCAATTTAAGCACCTCTGATATTTGCTCTCCCTACAGGATTTTACAAATACAGATACAATACAACCAACTGATAAGGAAATAAGAAATTAGTAAATATGAAAAATAAGAGAACTTTAAGAATTAAGTGAGCTAATTATTAATCCGAGTTTTTTTTTTTAACACATTAATGAACCAACAGTTGAGAAATGAAGCTGAACAAACAAAAAATATTCTGGATGATCACCACCATTATTACAATTTACAAGGGAGCATCATAAATCAGAAACTGTCCTAAGTACGTTAAATTTATTTTCTAATCAACTGAATCCTGACAACCCTGAAGTAGAAGCAACCTGTACAAAATCTCAGGAAGGAAATCACAGAATCAAGACTCCAAACTGCAATTACAGTCAATGTCCACATTTAAGAAAATAAGATGCTCAAATGAGAAGTAATCAAAGGAGGAGTCAGGAAATAAACTCTAAACAGAATGAAGGTTTAGACAACTGAAGATATTAAATTATCAGAGCCTAGGACAGGATATAAGATTACAAAGAATGCATTTCTAACATGTAATTAATATCACTAAGAAAAGCAGCTTTCCTAGATTCTTCCTCTACACTCACATTCATGGGTAAACACTTTTTAAAATTATTCTGAGCAACTATATCACAGAAAGGTTTAGCACACAAATGAAAACTCTTAGAAACTTCATTTACCATACAAATACAGTACCATCATTTATGGAAAATAATGATTGAAAAATATTAAAATGTAAATGAAGAGAAAGGAATATTCTAAAATAATATAGAGGGAGAAAAAACTTAAAAGTAAAAAAAGAAAATAGTAAAATTTTAATAGCCTTCTCCATTTGCAAAATAATTGCTTTTGGTTCTAATTCCTCCTATTAAACTTATATCAATATTTTCTAGTGCAACGAAAGGATCATGTAACAAAGACAAAAGTTATATAAGGTACCTAAAGTTACCACCATCTTGTGGTAATGAAAAATGTGATCTAAAGCAAACACTGAAAGTTATGCTCTATAAAATACCATGATACTACCATTGTTAATTATCATTAAGTTACTTAAAGATTAAATAAGATATGCACATGGCATTCTTCATTTGGAAAACTGAATAGTTTCTCTATTTTAACTTACAAGGTAACAGGAATATTTTCCCATGATCTTTCCGCTTCAAGTTTATCTAATGAACAAGGACTGTCATCCTTTTTCATAGACTTTGGTAACTCTTCAGTACAATGCTCTAGATTTCTCTTGGCCTTCAGGATAAGCAATTCAATTTTGTCACCTAATTTAAAAGATTACATTAATTCTTTAAGAAAAGAAATAAATACAAAGCATAGTAAAATCTTATAAAGGCAACAAGAATTTACATTATTTGGAATATAAACATATCCACCATAGCAAGCTATGTTAAAATGTGACATTTATTGTGACACAAAGGAAAACAAAAAGACATTTTCCAGTCACAGAATACTACATATATAAAGGTGATTAAGAGTTCAAAACAAAAATATCACTTGAGCATTGTATCAAGAATATAACAGATCCTAGATGCTAGGTCAAATTTACAGCACTTTCTTTGGTTCTTAAAAACAGTAAAAACACAAAAAAAACAGAACAATTACCACTGAATGGCTTTTTGGATCCTGGAAGAAGCGGGTTCTCACACAGACACTGGCTAGGTTCAGGACCACATTTATATTCATTCAGTAATCCTTTATCCTCAGTCAAGGAATGTGAAATGTTTGAAGGTTCAAAAGAATATTCAAAACAACCTAATTTATTCATTAGCCGAGAAGTTCTTTGTGCCTGGTAACTATGCCGAGGAGAACATTGATCTTCTTTAAACATTTGGTATATTCTTTGACTATCTGTATCAGGTAACAAGTCTTGATTGTTGAGCCAAACTGGGTACTTGAAGTCCGGTATACTAGTTATCCCTGAAATATTAAGGTCAGACTTCTGGCTAGTGAGCCATCTTGGGTAATTCTTTTCAAGATTGTGTTCTGAACTGTCCCTAAAAGATAATTTTTTGGAAAAACATAAAGATGGTACAGAAACGCTTTTATTAGCCTTATTCATGAGTTTTGGGTTTTTCAGCCTACCACATTGCCTTCCTTTTATATTTGTGTACACAACTGGGGTATCTAAGTTACCCTTGCCCTGGAGAGCAGCTGGTTCTTGAAAATTCTGATTCTTTTCTCTGTCAGATGAACTCAGTCTTCCAATGTGTTTCCTGTTTTTCTTGCTACTTCTGTGACCTGATCCAAAATAAGCGAAAGAAAATGCACCATCTGCTGGAAGCTTTAATAGATCATCAGTTGTTAGACTAATGGAGTCTATGTCATTAAGAGTCTGTCCACTACAGGATAAGGATAAATGTCTTCTGTCATCAAGATTTTCAAAAGCTGAAAAACAAAGCAGAATTCTGTTTATCTTCCTGTATCACATATAAAAATACTTCATAATATTCAACAGTAAATGAGAATTAAGAACTAGGAATCATGTTTGCTGTTTTCCCTTAATCTTTACTTAAGCTTTGGTTAAAAGTATGAAAGGTATAGGTTGATGTAATAGGATATGGTTTTTTTCCTTCACATCTCTTCAATTTAACTACTTGCTACACTTTTTTCTCTCCAGCCTCCTAAATATTCTCATATTCTTTAATTTACAGTTTCTTAATCTAGACACACCCAATGCACTAATACACTCACATGAATACCGGTCACTCAACTGGCTGCAACACAGGAAAAAAAACAAGTCATTAAACTAGGTGAAAAAACAATTTTAACATTAAAAAAAAAATATTTGCTTTCTTGCTTGCTAACCCTGAAATACACATAACAGCTGTTCTAATTCTCCTCTGCTGGAATATACTGCCCACTTTTTTCTAACAGTTGATGTAAACTTTTTCACCCTAGAGGTCAGTCAAGTGTTAACTGGGTTATCAACAGATGCATTTTCCAAACTTGTCTTCATGGACCTCGATACCGTGCTGTGCTGTGCTTAGTCACTCAGTCGTGTCCGCCTCTTTGCAACCCCACAGACTGCAGCCTGCCATGCTCCTCTGTCCATGGGGATTCTCTAGGCAAGAACAGTGGAGTGGGTTGCCATGTCTTCTCAACCAAGGGATCAAACCCAGGTCTCCCTAATTGCAGGTAGAATCTTCACCGACTGAGCCACCAGGGAAGCCCTAATGGACATGTGACCGAGGAAGAATCCTTAACATCCTGTGAATGCTACTGACCCATAGAATACAGACAAGGAAGACTAATACAGCCCTATCCTCTCAACTGAACTGATTTAAGTATAAATTCTGAAAGGCTGAGATTTGTTTAAAGTCATTAAGCTAGGTAATGAAAGCTAGAACCACCAAGTCAATGCTCTTTCCATTACACTGTAACAGAATGGCTTAAGGGTTTAGAATCAGCCATCTGCTATTACTAGTTGCATTTCATAAGCTTCTACTCGAAAATCAAAACAGAATCTTTACCCCAAAACTCCAGAGAACCAAAAAATCACAGCATCATTTAAGAAATATATACAGAAGTCAACACTGCAAGTCATTTTTTACTTCAAAACAAAATAAAGCATTTAGTTTTCTAAGACTACTATACACCTCTCAAAATGCTTTATATCAATAGGTAAAAAGAAAACAAAGGATAAAAGCATACCATTGTTTGGTTTACAAATGTAGCTGGAGAATTCCGGCATATTGGTAGAACATTTATCGATGTTAATCTTTTCAGTGCTTGCACCAAGACACATTTGGCTGAGATCAAAATCATCAATATAGGCCTGTAGAGCCTGAGACGCAGAACTGTACAGTTTATCCTTATACCGAAAAGAGCCAGAGTTAGAGGAATTACTGCCACTCAGGCTGCAGCTTAACAGAGAAGATACTGAAGACTGCCGAGAACAAACTCTGTGTTTTGTATTTGATTTTGCCATGGCTTCCTCAAAATTGGTTATTTCTATTCATTTCTCCTAAAAACAACTATAATACAAAAAGAAAAGGTTAAAGTTCCAATTAAAACGAGTAATAGCTCACACAGAAATTACTAAATTTGCATCAACTTTTTACAACTTTAAAAAATAAAACCCATTATCTGTAAATTATTTTTAAGCAACGCACATTATATATTTTCCATTTTAATTACTTTAAATTCTTTCATCATCGATTTAGAAAACATGCATTGAGCACCTAATATATGCTTGGAATTATACATACAAAAATCATCTGATGAATGATCCAAGGAGCTCAGATCTGCTGCTCTGTGATAACCTAGAGGGATGGGATGGGGTGGAAGGTGGGAAGGGATTTAAGAAGGAGGGAACATATCTATGGCTGATTCATGTTGATATATGGCAGAAACCAACACAATATTATAATTATCCTCCAAATAAAAACAAATACATTTTTTAAAAAATCATCTAAGACTATATAGGAAGTGTCAAGGGAAGAATACTCACTTTTTTAGTCCTGTAAACTACTGATGCAGTCTTTTCTTATGCTGACACACTCTATGACATCACAATACATAACATTCCCCTATACAAAATATTGTTCAACCCATAAGCCCACCACCATACACTACACACAGTAGGTGCTTGATAAATTTTTAAAAGGCATCAAATGACATAGTTGAAACAAGGAGGAAAAATGGAGACTAAGTATCCACTTTCAACATTTTAAATGCCAGTATGTAACTTTAAGCAACCTTCTCCCCCAAGACGTGAGCAAACAAAATAATTTACAATATTTATCGATAAAGAAATAAACTGCAAGTCTTACTGTGAAGTAAGCTGGCAAAATGTTCTTTTCCTAAAATAATGCAGTTTTAACAATCCTTTTCTGACATTCGTTTTTTGATACTACCCTATTTTCAATTCTCATGTAAAACAGATTCAGCCCACCTCTCAAAGGAGACTTAACAGTATGGAAAAATGGCCTCAATGCACTCATCTTTTTTTCCATTATTAAAATTGAGAGAATTTCGGTCTACATTAAAAGAGCAACAACAGTATCTATATTTGAAAACCTACGAAGTAACAGAATGAACAGGCACTACTTGAGTAAAATGACATTCTTTTAGAATTAAATCAATGGATTTTCTGAAGTAAAAATAAAAGCTTAATGTCTAGGACTTATCACATGCTATGATATTATAACATGTTTCAGTTCAGTTCAGTCGCTCAGTCGTGTCCGACTCTTTGCGACCCCATGGATTGCAGCAGGCCAGGCTTCCCTGTCCATCCATGTCCATCACCAACTCCCGGAGTTTATTCAAACTCATGTCCATTGAGTCAGTGATGCCATCCAACCATCTCATCCTCTGTCGTCCCCTTCTCCTCCCGCCCTCAATCGAGGGTTACAATTTTGGGAATGTTTAACTTATAACAACTTTTAATGTAATCTTAATAACTGTCAAATTTGATTTTAGAACACTGAGAAAGTCTTCAGTTTAAGAAGAGAAAAAGGTCAGAGTTGACAGTAGTCAACTGAAGCCTCAGTCAAACATAATTGCTATTTCCCTGATTGCTCTGATACTACTGGTATACCTTCTAAAGACTGGCTAGACCAAGTCAGCGTTGCCTTTTCTTCACCCCCTAATGATTTTAAATCTTCTCAAGTAAATATTGCTTGCATGACAAAACTGACCAAATGTTTCCTCCCTTATCCCAACACAGTACAGGTTACCGATTTTGTATTTTATTTTACAAAATCTTAGAAACCCTAAAAGGGAAAGCTGTTGGATTACAGTTGTCAGTGAGTGGGTAATAACATTTATTTTAATTCACAGGAAGCAAAAAGAAAACCCACGACTGAATTATTCCTGTGCAAAGTTTCCAAAAGTACACAAACGAAAGTTTAAGTCAACTCCTGGGCACCCATCATTCTGCCATCAATGACCAACACAACCACACTCTTTATTCACTCACTTCTCCTCACGTCCGCCAGAGAATTATTTGGAAACAAATTCGCTGTCTCTTACCATTTCTTCCTTAAACATTCCAGCATGCCGCTCCAAAAGGAAATCCATCATTCCGACGAACAGAATGTTGAAACGAGTGGCCAGTGGTTTCAACTACCTTTGATCCAAACGCAGAACGTACAGCATTAAACCACCAATATGGTAATAGCTCACAGGAAATAAACGACTCAACGACTCTGTGATTTATGTTAGGAAAATAAACGTGTTTGTGGTTGCCGCAAAAACAAGACTTAATGACCCTGGAAAGCGAAGGTCGCTGGCGCCCCTGGCTGACGGGCATCTGCGGATTCAAAGCTTGCGTCCTGAAAGAACTAGGACCCACGTCCCTCAGGGATTCCAGCATCCCCCGCCCGCCACCCAACGCCGCGGTCACAGACACAGGCTTCTCTAAACCGTTATCAGACAACAGGAGTGGGCGGTCTGAGTCTTTGCGAGGCAGCAGCCCCCGAAGCCCGAGAGCCTCCCTCCCCGCCCACTTCAGCCTCCGGAAGCGCCCGAGGGCCAAGCCAGGCCCCTCCGTCCCATTCCGAGCCTCTCCACGTTAAACTGGCCGCTTTCCACCCGACCTCTCAGTCCGCGCCTTGCCTCAGGAAACGCCTTTCCTCTCCCACCCCGCCATCTTTTCCTTAGCCCTCCCCTCCCCTCAGGCTGTCAAGGAATGGGAGGCCCCTCGAAAATACACCCGCCTTTCGGGCCGAACTCACCGACGAAGGCCCGAAAAAAAACGAGAAAAGCGCACACGTCCACAATTCTCCACTGATGGCCTTGGGCTGTCACAGGATGGGAGACGCGACAAAGCATCCCAACCTGGTTCCGCGCCTCCTCCGCCTCAGGTCGCTCGCATCTCCCTCCGCCGTCACGGCCCAGCGAACCGCCCGCGCTCGCTTTAAAACTGACCCAACATGGCGCTGACTTGCGGTGCGCATGCGTGGTGCTCGGAAGAGGGCGGGGCAGAGAAAACGGGGCCAGGTCGCGGTCGCCGCTGGGAAATGTAGTTTTTCCTTCCGGGTCTTGCGGGGTGCGGAGATTCCCGGGCTACCTCAGCGTTGCTGACCCGCACGCGCTACGTCCTCTGGATCTTCGTTATGGCTCTGAGCGGCGGGTCTCCACGGATTACAGGCTGAGCTTCCTTCGGCCAGTTTCCCGAGGCTTCAAGAGGGGACTGGGCAGAAAGGGGGACCAGGAACCCTGGCGGCTTCCGTTTCAGTCTTTTGAGAGCTAGGCCCTCCATTCCAGTCCTCCCCACACGCTCGGCCTCCCTGCTTTCAGAAACCCGCTCCCAGGATAAAACAGCCACTCGGCCCGGGGAGCCGCTCCCCAGACCACGTAATTCCCTCCCTCCCTCCTTCTGCCCCTTCCCCTTCCCTTCCGTGAACCCGGCTCCCCTGGTCTCCCCACCAGCCCCCTCGCGTTCAAAGCAGACGCGGAATTGGAGGAGGCAGTTGGGCCCGCGATGCGAATTAACAAAGTCCTTGGGGACCTTGATTCCCAGGGAAGAATGGCAGTGACCCAGCACGGATTGGGGATCCACTCAGGCAGCGCAGAAAGAGGGAGATTATACAAACAGATGTAAAGAGCCACTTAACAACATATGGGAACCTGTCTACAAGGCTGGGACAGGATGTAAGGCGCGAAGAATCCAGTTTCAACCAAGTGGTGTTATCAAAAAAGATGCCATCTCAATATTGGTTTGTGTTTATTTTCACCTGACCCTGTGAGTGAAGATATCCTTGATCATTATCCCATCTGAACATGTTCCTGCTCAACCAGTGTTACATCACCAGGTAATACTGTCCAACTGGAGTCTTGCCGTTGGCTCTTTTCATCTCGTCACCCTCTCTAGCCCACTAGGCTTAACCATCCCTTTTTTTTTTTCCTTGGCAAAGGAAAAGGTCCAGAAGTTATAAAATTTAGTTGAATGGTTCAGTTAAGCACATGTTTGTTGTGGCAGTAAGCAGTGCTAGTGATTTGAAAATGAATAAGATGAAGTCCTTGCAGAAAGTTTATATTCCAGTGATATGTTGCAAAAAACCTGCAATTTCATGATCCTTCAGTATCAAGTATGTTGTTGGCAGGAAATAAAGAACTGTGTTATATACGCTGGGAGAAGCCCAGGTCAGAGACCAACCAAGGATTGTTAGTGGCATGAGCTTAAAAACTTAGACATTTTAATCCACATTTCACACTTAGTGTCGTTTAAACCTGTCCTTTTAAAAGATAATTTCTTAAAGATTCTTTTCATAAACATTATCTTTATGTTCTTACTACCTTTTTCTTACATTGAGGAAACATATAGTATATGTTTCTGAATGAGTACATAAAGTACAAATCAAAGACACTGAAAAAATATTAAGGAAATTATCAAATATATTTTCTAATTCATGGATCAAAAGAATTCTGCTTCCACTTTTGTTCTTTCACAGGTTAAAAGATATGGAGATATCCATGAGGATTTGGAGAAGAGTCCAGTAGTTATTAAAATTCTGGATTAGATCTACTAGGAAAGGTAAAGAAGCCAAGAGTCTCCTAAGAAGAAGGAATTATAACAGTTTACCAATGTTTTTCAAATATAGATGTCAATTAGGTGCTGTGCCTTGCCAAAGAACTAAGACAAGAGAAAAGTAGATTTATGATCCAACCTAAAGGCCTTTAGGTGAGAGCTGGAAGACATGTGCTGATAATTAAACTTTGAGAAGGTTTATTCAGGCAGCTCTTAGGAGAGTGTTTGTTTGTTTGTTTTTAGCTAGATTTAAATATGTCCATTTAAAGAAAAAGACTAACCTTTGATCACCAAGAAGGGCCTGACACTGTTTCAATCATTTCTGCATATATTAAAATCACTTAATCCTCATAATAACCCCATGAGACAGGTATTACTATCCCCCATCTGTAGAAACGAAAATTGAAGTCCAAAGGCTAAGCAGTTTACCCTAAATTATAAAGCTGGTGGTAAATGGCAAAGCCAAGATTTGAATCCAGTTCTGTGTTGTCACTCTTTCCACCACACCAGCCAGCTTCCCTTAACTGAAAACTGGGTGATGGGCCAAAGGACCAATGAGACACCAAACAGGATCATACTCAACTGCTTTTGCCACAGATACCACAATATTTACCCCTTAGCAAGAGTTCAGTATATCTGTTTGATCTGAATTGATATGAACTTGATCCTCTCTGAAGAGAATATTTAAGCAAAGACACTGATGAGGAGGAGTCAGTTGTGAACACACTGAGGAAGAACATTACAAGCACAGGGAACAGCAAGTACAAAGACCCTGAGGTAGGAAGTTGCTTGGTTGTATCTGAGGAACAACCAAGAAGCTCGATATAATTGCCGCTAAGAGGGAGAGAAGGAAACAGGAAGAAGTTGACTTTGGAGAGGAAGCCGGGGTCAGGCCCTTCAGTGCCACTGCCACTCACTTTAAAAGAGATAAAGCCCCACTAACCCCTGATCAACAGATTATATTGCTTCACAGGGGAAAGGAAGTAAGACTGAGCTGTTAGAAATAATATGTGCCACGTAAAGGGGTAAGATGTTTAAGTGCATTGTTTCATTTAATCCTCACATCAGTTCTACTGAGTTAGGTTTTATCCCAGTTTTACAGTTTGATAAAATGAGGAAAGAGAAATATTAAAGAACATGGTTTACAATTTGTCAGTGGCAGAGACAGGATTTGACTCCAGTCTCTGACTCCAAAACTAAAGCCTGCTCTTTGTAATATATCACATTTTCTTATTTGAAATACTGAATAAAAAAGAAGAGATGCATGTATTCAAAACGGAATTATTGTTCATTACTATGTGACAGACATTTAGAAATAGTGTTAAAATGTAATACAGTATTTAAAAAAAAAATCTTTGTATGATTACATTCTCACCAGTCATTTGCTTTTAATACTTTGCATGTTTGCAGGTAGATGGACTATAAGGCACTTGCCCAACAAACTGCTCAAGAAATTTTAGGTTACTATCAAGATACATCAGGCTGGAAAGTGGTTAAGAATTCAGTAAGAAAACAAGTTATATATATTTCAATAGTTTGTTTTTTTAATGGAAAACAAATCATTGCAAAGACATTTTTTTTAATATTTTTATTTTTACAAACTAAAAAAGTTTTTACTTTCATTTTTTTGTTTGTTTTTTAAATTTATTTTTTTCTGTATCTGACGGCTAATTTATTTGTGGATTTTTTATTCCTCTATGAGAAAAAAGTAACTGTTTCCAGCAAGGCTTCTAAAAAATTCCATGGAAATCTGTGAGTACAATTTCCTATTTATAATCATGGTTTTGAATTCAATGACATTGATGTATCTAGAATTCAGTGCTACTTCATTAGCTATTAAGACATTATTGGATAGTGAACCGGAAATAGAAATTACTTATAAAGTCACTTGATTGAAACATGGATGAATAAAAAGAATAATATGTACCATCTAATTTTCAAACCTGAAGACAGAAAAAAAATCACTTCTAGTGAATACTTCACAAAGCTAGGAAATTTCCACTTCAAGAACTAATTACTGTAAAAATAGATTGGTATTTTCTTAGAGTATTTTGTGGTCTTTTCAACATTTTACCTTTTCATTAAGTGAACCCCTTAAAGATAAAGTTTATTTCCCCAATATATTTCTCTTGCAAATGTATATAATTTTTTCTGTAAGGCTTTTAAGGATATTGTGGGGTGGGGTGTGTGTGTGTGTGTGTGTGTGTGTGTGTGTGTACACATGCATGCATGTTTAGTTGCGCAGTTGTATCCGACTCTTTGCATCCCCATGAACTGTAACTTTCTAGGCTACTCTATCCATGGAGTTTTCCTGGCAAGAATACTGAAGTGGGTTGCCATTTCATCGTCCAAGGGATCTTCCTGACCCAGGGGTTGAACTCATGTCTTCTAAGTCTCTTGCACTGGCAGGCAGATTCTTTTATAATTTTTTTCTGTAAGCTGCTTTTAAGGATATTTTTTAGGAACCTGTTGTTTCAAATTCAAATACACTAAGGGAAATTGTGCAGATGTTTTTTAAACCATATTTTTAAGAGTTGTTCATTTATTGATCATGGTATGTTATTTAGAAAACCAAATTTGATTCAGTTTCTTTTGGGGGGGTGGTTGTTGTTCAGTAGCTCAGTCATGTCCAAGTCTTTCCAACCCCATGGACTGCAGCACGCCAGGCTTCCCAGTCCTTCACATCTCCCAGGGCTTGCTCAAACTCATATCCATTGAGTCACTGAGGCCATTCGACTATCTTATCCTCTGTCATCCCCTTCTCCTCCTCCCTTCAATCTTTCCCAGCATCAGGGTCTTTTCTGATGAGTCAGTTCTTCCCATCAGGTGGCCACAGTATTGGAGCCTCAGCTTCAGCATCAATCCTTCCAATGAATATTCAGGGTTGATTTCCTCTAGAATGGTATCATCTGCATATGTGAGGTTGTTGATATTTCTCCCAGCAATCTTGATTCGAGCTTGTGAGTCATCCAGCCCAGCATTTCATGTGATGTACTCTACATAGAAGTTAAATAAGCAGGGTAACCGTATACACACAGCCTTGCCTTATTCCTTTCCCAACTTTGAACCAGTCCATCATTCCATGTCCAGTTCTAACTGTTGCTTCTTGTCCTGCCTACAGATTTCTCAGGAGACAGGTAAGGGGATCTGGTATTCCCATCTCTTTAAGAATTTTCCACAGTTTGTTGTGATCCACACAGTCAAAGCCTTTAGCAGAAGTCAGTGAAGCAGAAATAGATGTTTTTCTGAAATTCCCTTGATTTTTCTGTGATGCAACAGATGTTGGCAATTTGATCTCTGGTTTTCCAAAACCCTGAATTTTCTAAATCCAGCTTGTAAATCTGAAGTTCTCAGTTCACGTACTGTTGAAGTCTAGTTTGAGGGATTTTGAGCATTACCTTGCTAGCGTGTGAAAGTTGTATGGTAGTTTGAATGTTCTTTGGCATTGCCTTTCTTTGGGATTAGAGTGAAAACTGACAGTTTAGTTATAATACAGACAGGCCCATTTACTATATATTATCTATGGCTCTTTCACTGCTGCACTAATAAAGTTGAATAATTGCAGCATAGAACATGAAGCCTGCAAAGCCAAATAAATTATTTACCATCTGGCTCTTTAGTGAAAAGTTTTCTAACCTCTGCTTATATCATATTACATTCTTAAATTAAGAATTAAGGCCACAAGATGCTGCACAACCACACAAGTGTCTCATCAGTTACTTGAGGCTTATGATAAATAGAGCATGTAAATGTTTATGAGAAAGAGTTTAGAAAAATTCTAAATGAAAGTAGTCCCTTTGAAAAGATAATGATAGGGACTTCCCTGATGGTCCAGTGGTTAAGCATCCCACCATCCTATACAGAGGACGTGGTTCAATCCCTGCTTGGGGAACTAAGATCCCACAAGCCATAGGGCAACTACCCCCACTCGCCACGACTACTGAGCGTATGCATCCTGGAGACCATAAGCCAGACCTAGAGAGAAGCCCGCACACAGCAACACAGAGCCCAGCTGGGTGCTGCGACTAAGATACAGTGCAGCCAAATAATTTTTTTTTAAAAAAGACAACTATAGAAACAGTACTAACAAAATTTGTTGAAAAACGAATTTTCAAATAATTTATATTAATTATTGCAATGCATATTTAAATAAAACTGTTACTGGCTTCCCTGGTGGCTCAGTGGTAAAGAATCCTCCTCCCAATGCAGGAGACACAAGCTTGATCCCTGGGTCAGGAAGATCCCCTGGAGAAGGGAATGGCAACCCGCTCCAGTATTCTTGCCTGGAGAATTCCATGGACAGAGAAGCCTGGTGGGCTACAGTTCATGGGGTCACAAAAGGGTCAGACATGACTTAGCAACTAAGCAACAACTTACAATTGAATATTAGTATTTTAAATTGCTAATATTACCTTTTCTTTATATTACTTGTTAAATGAGTGTGCTTTATAGTGTGATACCATATTTTCAACTTAGGCTAAATTCAATTAAATTTTGAATTTTCTTTTTAACCATAGATATCGTGTTGAAGGAATGATTCCAGAATCGACATCTAAACTATCTGATTTCCTCTTCAAACCTGAAAACAGAGTCACATGGGACAAATCATTGAAAATGTACAACATAGTACTAAAGATTGATTCGGTAATTTATTGTTTAATGTTGGACTTTTACTGTATTCAGTTTTTTTATATCTCAGTATTTCAGTTTATTACATCTGTATTTTATATATTCAAATAAAGTTGAAATCTTTATAAGAAGCTTAAAACTTTTTTCTTTATTGAGAGGTCAGTTCCACTTAGCTTTATTCTATTTTTAGTGCATACCACATTCTGAATCTGCAGATGTGTGCCTTTGATTATTGAGAGGACTGAACTCATGGATTTGCCTCCTCCATCAAGGGGAAAAAAGGATTAAGCATGCCTTGATGGAAGTCAGTAGATTTATCATAGTGATAACACACTAGATAACATTGTAGACACTTAACAAATAGCATATAACTTTTTAAAAGCTTGTGTGAAATAACATTATAATGGTTGTGGTTTTAGAAACACTTTCAAAGACAGTATTTCAGAGATGAAGAGGAAGAATAAAAACAGAGAAAGGAAAACTACAGGTAACGGAGTAGAAAGTTAAAGTCCTAGAGGTGAGAGAAGGGAAGACAGGATGCAAGAGGCGAATAGGGCTTAGAAGGGGAGAGGAGCAGAGTGAGGCAAGGGACGCTGAGAGCTTGGGAGGAGATGAAATGAGACTGAGATGTGGCGGGAAGAGGGAGGAACTGAAGACAGGGGCTGGCCGAGGGACTCTGAACTCTGGCGCAGTACCATGTCACTCCGTTACTTAGGAGGACTGCTAGACAGCACGGCATGTAAATTACACCTTAGTAGGCTGATTTTAAAAAGTGACTTCTATATTTTGGCTAATAATAATTTTATTAGAAGGAAATGGTAAAGGTGAAGAATGTTCGTGGAATGCAAACTTTTATGATTTTTACAAACAGTTGCATTTGTAAAATTACAGATTACTGAGTCCGGTTCTTCAAGTCTCCAAGCCCATTTCACACATCAAAACAAATGTCCCACATGCTGCCATCACTTTACCGTTTATTTAGAACTCTGTAGGTTAACTGTACCTCCTTCTCTTAAACTGATTTTAAAATCTGGGATGAGGGTGAGGTGGTGGAACAGCCTGGGAAGGTAGGGTAGTTTCATCTTGTAGAAAGGCTCTGGAGTTCTGCCCACAGAACACATGTCTGTGACCCTCTTGGGATTTGAACTTGGTCTATCACAATGAAAATGCAGACACTGGATTGTTTCATTCGTAACTGTATAATACTAATTATAGAGTTTCATTAGCATTTCAGATATTTCTGTTTTTGCTGCAAGTCAGCTATAATAATGGAAAGTATAGTCGATTTGGCATCAAAAGATTTGAAAATATATTCAGAGAAATTTCAGTTCAGCTCAGTTCAGTTCAGTCCCTCAGTCGTGTCCGACTCTTTGCAAACCCATGGACTGCAGCACACCAGGCCTCCCTGCCCATCACCAACTCCCAGAGTTTACTCAAATTCATGTCCACTGAGTCGGTGATGCCATCCAACCATCTCATCTTCTGTCGTCCCCTTCTCCTCCTGCCTTTAATCTTTCCCAGCATCAGGGTCTTTTCAAATGAGTCAGTTCTTCACATCAGGTGGCCAGAAAAATTTAGATTTGCCCAAGGTCAACACAGTGTATGGTAGAACCAGGACTTATACTGATCTCCTGATTTGGATTTGATGTCTTTTTCAGTATACTATAATATCTCTGAATCACATTACACAATGAGAAGAATTTTTCTGCCTTCCTATGCATGTTTGTAGCATTCATTTTGCAAGGGTGCGTTTTAATTGACTCATTCATCCTATTGGTGAGGAAGGGATTCCTGCTCTAGGGTTATGGCGGTCAAACAAACACTTGACACCATAAGATCAACAGCAGTTTATTAATCCTAATCACAGCCCAGGAAAGGAAGACTGTTAAGATTTTGTTCAGTTAACATTTGTTGTTGGGGCACAGAGTGCCAGTGGTGAGCCGGGTTCAACAAATGACCACAAGAGAAATTGAAATAGAGAAGTTTATTACAGTCCTGGAGGAAGTGGACAGCCCAGGTCAAGGGCCCCGTGTGGGGGTCAAGGCAGGGTGCAGACAGGGGTGGGCTCGCACCTTCACTAGGGTCTGTGGGTGCAGTGCTTTGGGGTTCCTAGGCTAAGGCCAGATTGATCACTTGGAACCAAACAGAGCAGGATTTGGGGAAACTACACAGGGGGTCTGATCTAAGGGGCTCACACGGGGAAGGCCCTGGGAAGTGTGGGAGGCTGCTGATGAGAAAGGCTGTTGGGGAAGTCATATCAGGAACTTACATTTGCTTGTGACCCTGCGGGCTATTATCTAAGCTGTGCTTACGTGAGAGAGCTGGTGTTCGTTTAAGGCCACCGCAGGCTGCTTGGCCAAGCAAAATGGATGCTGAGGCAGCAACACATGGAGTAGCTCAGCTAAGCTCTCTGGGACACACCATGCCCCGCAGTGTGACAGGGGAGTTGCACTCAGGAACAGAGTTAATAACCAGGGATTGTGCATGGCAGGCTTTGTAGTATCAGGAAGCTGAGGTGACCCTGATTCTTGCAGGAGGATCTGATTGGTTGTTGGACTAATTCTACAGGGTAGCAGGGAACTGAAACCCACTACTCAGGTATAAGTAGGAACTGTGTCTTATCCTGCTATAAGGAGGGTTGTGGGACCAAGGGCTCTTATTTATGGGAACAGAGTGGAGAGAGGATCTTGCAGTTTGGCCATTCAAGACCCTCCCAATTTTAACAGATGTCAAAGCAGCACATATACTGGTCTTTAATTTTAGGCTTTACACCACAGGCTGTTAAGTCAATATATTATTCCAAATATATTACCTAGTCAGTGTGGAGTAGCAGACACACTATTGTACTGGAAATCTGGAAACCCGGGTTCTAGTTCTGTACATCTCTCTAGTTCTACATGTAACTTAATGTTAGGCTTCAATTTCTTCATTTAAAAATTTGAAGATTAGATAATATCAAGATTCTTTTCTAAATTTATTGTATTTCTAATTTATATTAACCCCTTGTTAGAGATAGGATTTGCAAATATTTTCTCCCACTCTGTGGGTCGCCTTTTCATTTTGTTAATGGTTTCCTTTGCTATGCAGAGGCATTTTAGTTTATTATAGTCCCACTCTTTTATTTTTGCTTTTGTTGCCTTGCACTTATAATTACACATCTAATATTTCTTTAACACTGAAAATGCAAGCTGATTTGGTGATAAATTCTTAAAACCTCAAAGCCCTGCTTTTTCCAAAAAGAGGCCAAACTTAGGCAGTGAAATTCTTTGGGGAGCAGTACAAAGAACAGATATTAAATCCTTGTTGCAATCTTTATGATGTGATTTGTTTCAGGATACATTCATATGTCATACCATTACACAAAGCTTTGCCATGGGCTCAATTTCCCCCCGAGACTTTATCAACTTAGTCTCTTTGAAGCACTATGAAGGGAATATGGATGTTGTCAGTGGTAAGTTGAAACATTTTGCCCACACCTGGGAATTACTATGAGTCATTAATAAATTTTTTTCTTTTAACTCACAGTTTGAAAGAATGTTTTCAATTAATTATTCTTGTATTTACTTGGTGAGACCAATAAATACATGCGTAATGTAGGTAAGCCTGAAGTTTTTAACCTAATTCTGGAGGTACCATTTACATCATAGTCAGTCATTGTGGCATCTCCTGGCCTTTTTGCAGCATATACTCTGCAGCACTGAATATAGACAGATACTTGCAGGCTACATTACAAAACTACCAAGAAACAAAATGGATCTTTGGATATATACTTCTATATTTGAATATGTAGAATGGATATATCTAAAAACTGATAAAACTCCTCAAGAAAATTCTACTAGATAGCTCTTTTCATAAATGTGCTTACATTTCTTTTAAAAACTGAAAGTTTTAACATACTCTTATCCATTGCTTGTTGCTCAGTCACTAAATTGTGTCCAACTCTTTGTGATCCAATGGACTGTAGCCCGCCAGGCTCCTCTGTCCATGGGATTTCCCAGGAAGAATACTGGAGTGGGTCACCATTTCCTTCTCCAGTCCTTAACCTACCCTCCACCCCTGGCCAAAAATGTATCACTCTGTAAAATGCAAATGTGTAACGACTTGCTATTTGCATTATTCACTTAAAACACACCAGTTTATACCCCAGAGATCTTTGGACTCCTAGAACTCAAGATATTTATGGTGAAGGGACTTTGGTAGGGCAGTAGTAGCCTAGAGCCTTTTTTTTTCCTCTGCAATTCAATTTAATCTCGCTATTCCTACCTGAATTCCCCTACTGTAACTACTTGGGGACAGGGACAGTTAACTGTTGTTAATTACTCTTTTCCACTTGTAGGACCCTTTAAGTTTCAGAGTACAAGACCGAGTAACAGCTCTGCTAATAGCACTCAGGCACAGTTATCTCTGTTGACCGTATATACCACTGGGGCCTGATGTTCATCACTTTCACATATTTGTCTCGTATATTTTCATACAGCTGTCATTAGTCATCTCATTTTCAAATGAGGGCACATAAAAATTTATTCACTGCCTATAACACAAAATACTGTCCCATTTGAATCAGAGATCTCTTATTGATCTCTTATTGTCTACCTTGAAACCATTCTATTTGTGTCTCATTTTTGCTGGTCAGAGGGAAGGTCAAAAAGAAGTATAGAAGATAAAATCCATGAATAGTTATAATCAGTCATTCAGTGATCACTACTGAATTTGCTTTAAAGTGATTTTCTTTGAATGAGTTTTTGATGAACACTGATAGTTTTCTTCTTAATGTTTCCACTGTTGTTTAGCTTACTGTGTAGTTTGCTTTTAGCTAAATGTTTTGCATGCATTTTTCTCACCAATGAGGAAACTGAAATTCACAGAAATCAAGTTACGTAGCTCATCAACAGCTCAAGTCTTTCTGATTTTCCAGAATCTGTGCTAACTACCTCACTGTGTGCCTCACAAAAGACCCATACTTGTTTGTGGAATATAACAAAATTGTAAAAAATAAAGACAAATATAATCTCCATATTTTAAACAGAGAAGAAATATGTTAATATCAATTCTGGCAGTACCATTTTGCCAACATAAGTGGCTCTATTAAGATGATGGAACAGATCGTGAAAATGGGAAATGCATACAGCCACATTTGTCTCCTAACTAGAGCTTAATGTTGTATTTCCTACCGAAGTAATTATGTACATTAAAATCATATAGGAAAATTCTCTGATGAGCAGGATTCAGTTGCACAGACTAAAGAAATACATGTTTTAAAATGTTTTTAGGAAGAGTATCTATAATTATCATAAATGTGACGGTAATCAAATCTCCTCCCTTCTACCTTCACATGCAGTATTGCAGTTACACTGCATAATTCCTAAAACAAAATCTATTGATTTTTAATCATACATTGAAGTTAGCTACAGGGAATTGGCAGAGAAGAGCATTTAAACTACCTCTATTGACAGGCTAAATAACACATCAAATATTTTATTTAAAAAATGATAAACCAAAAAAAACTATCCTAGTAGATTAGTCTTTTTCTTTGTAATTTCTGCTTCTGATCTCAGAAAGTAAATAAACTATACTTTGAACAGTTCTTGTATGTAAAAGGAAGCAGCATCTATAGAACTAGCATGAAAAAGTTTGAGAGGACAGTAGTGATACTTTTTCATGCTGTACTTGTAGCATGATACTTTTTCATTTTTGGCCTGTGTACACATTCAGGTGTGCAAACATACAGACCTATGTTAAAATTAATGTCAGTGTTAAATGCTATGTCATGTATTTTTGAAAATATGCTATTGGAAACAGAATTTTTCATCTTTGTGGCATAGGTTTCATTTTAATTTTTCTTTTGATCACTTAGCTACTAGTGTGGATTTTCCAGCATATCCTCCATCCTCAAGTTACATCCGAGGTTATAACCATGCTTGTGGCTATATATGTTTACCTGTGCAAGAGTAAGTGTTATTTCCATATATTTATTGTTTAACCATTTTTTAGTTCAGTTTGTAACTTGCTAACGAACTCACCAGAAATATTTTCTGGTATATCCTGTTGGGGGGAAAAGATGCCCCTAAATAACAATTTTTAAAATAATATTTCAAGTATTTTTTGTCTTAAGTATAATAAGAATAGACAATTACCTATAAAGTATAATCTGTGGTTTCTGGCACCAGTCACATGTTCACAGACATCATCATGCCCTCTAATTAACCTTAACCTGATGTTTTATGTTTCTCCATTAGTTACTTCTTTGAATTATTAAAGAATTTTTGCAAATGAAAAATAAATTTCTCTAGAATTATAATAGTTAGCCTTTATCAGCAATGAATCATGTTTTACTTTGAATATATTCTTTCCAATGGACTACTTACTGTGAACAGTTACCTGCAGAACAAGCCACCCAGTAGGTAAATTCAGAGAGGGAAGAGCTGGAGAAATTAGAGATGACTCTTTGCCCAAAGGTGGCCAGCCATTGGATAAGATGGTGACATCCAATACACATATTCTGTAAATGCATATATATATTAATTCAATATATATCATTCTACAACTTCCTTACATATTTGCTAAATGATTTTATATTAAATAAAAGACACTGGCACACAAAATGACATGTAAAACTTTATATTGGTCAGATGTAAACCACTCAGTAGGAGAAAAATATGTATGTGAAGGAAGTCAAAATAAAATGACATTTAGACCCATATTCCTTAATATTTTCTACTGAATTAGAGAACTAAAAGAAATCCAAAAATATTTACATTGATGGACAGGATAATTGGTTCAGATGATGATGATGATGACAATGTAGTCTTTCTCCCCATCTGTCAATTTTCTATATATAGCCAAGATTGTATTCTCCACAGCAGGAAAGAATAAAACAAGGGAAAAATTATTACTCCATATCAGGTAGGTGAATCAGCTGCTAGTGGGGACTCTGGTTGGGAAGTTATACAACCTAAAGTGTGCTTCACAAGTCCCCTTCTTGCATCTTGTCACCATTCCCTTTCCACTGCGAAAAAAAAAAAAGAGAGAGAAAAACTCTAATTTAGATATTCTACCCAGAGTGGGAACTCTGCCTAGCAACCTGCTGGAGAAGGGTACTGACAAAAAAGTGATTCTTCTGTACCTTTTCCTTCTGTGCAGCTGAAGGCCTGTAGTAAATTTATAAAACATATTATCTACAGTAAATGTACTCTCCAGGAAATCTTGGAAAAGCTTTGTAAAACTGTGTAAAGCCCTAGTAAATTCACGTAGAGATTTAAGGCCATACAAATTGCTAGTGAGTACAGCCATTTGAGACAATGTAAAAATAGTCTAAACTCTGAATGGAAAAGGGTTTAAGAAAATAGATGCTCACATGGTTGGTTGGAGCAGTGGTCTTCAAACCCCTCTAAGAGAATTTTGTAAAACCATATATTGCCTTGCACATTTTTAAGTTGATATTAAAATTTTGTAGAGCATTATATCAAGAGGGTGAAATTTCCAGCATACTATAAATCTTGACACTTTAAAAAAATGTTTTTATCACCCTTCTAAGTGCATTTATCAGAACATAAATACTGTAACAACTTGAAACCTACCACTACATTTTCAGTTTCAAAATACATGTAACCTTTAACAGTCAGAAATATTATATCATTTCTTTTCTCCTTGATCTGATATTTTTACTCTTTTTCCTTGCATAATTTTATCCAAATAAAATGTATTTTATGCTTTGGGTTCTTTTATGAATCAGTGTTTATGCTTTAGGTTCTTTTATCAATCACCGTTTATTTTCTATCATACCTCTATAGGAATAAGTACCTAATTTTTAAAATTTGTTTTAATATCTGTGACCCTAAGTATCTAACCCTGAAGAAGCTGAACAGTCCTATGAAGACCTACAAGACCTTTTAGAACTGACACCCAAAAAAGATGTCCTTTTCATTATAGGAAACTGGAATGCAAAAGTAGGAAGTCAAGAAACATCTAGAGTAACAGGCAAATTTGGCCTTGGAGTACAGAATGAAGCAGGGCAAAGGCTAATAGAGTTTTGCCAAGAGAATGCACTGGTCATAGCAAACACCATCTTCCAACAACTCAAGAGAAGACTCTACACATGGACATCACGAGATGGTCAACACCGAAATCAGATTGATTATATTCTTTGCAGCCAAAGATGGAGAAGCTTTATACAGGCAGCAAAAACAAGACCGGGAACTGATTGTGGCTCAGATCATGAACTCCTTATTGCCAAATTCAGACTTAAATTGAAGGAAGTGGGGAAAACCACTAGACCAGGCAGGTATGACCTAAATCAAATCCCTTATGATTATATAGTGGAAGTGAGAAATAGATTTAAGGGACTAGATCTGATAGAGTGCCTGATGAACTATGGACAGAGGTTTGTGACATTGTACATGAGACAGGGATCAAGACCATCCCCAAGAAAAAGAAATGCAAAAAAGCAAAATGGCTGTCTGAGGAGGCCTTACAAATAGCTGTGAGAAGAGAAGTGAAAAGCAAAGGAGTAAAGGAAAGATATACCCATTTGAATGCAGAGTTTCAAAGAATAGCCAGGAGAGATAAGAAAGCCTTCCTCAGC